GTGCTTCCAAGTTGCGCTGCCACTAGGGTGTGCCATTGTGCCTTGAACTCTGGGATTTTTCGAATGCCATGTTATTTCCTCCGAAATGTTCTTCGTTGCAAACAGTCTTTGCAACCTGGGTGTGATCGGGAAATAAAATAGAACATTCAAAGGCACTAGGCTACCTTTGGAAGTCTGCTTGTATCGGTCGCTGCCACACACCCTGCATTCAGACAATTGAGCATCATCCTTCCAAAACAACATACACCCTTTTGGGCACGCATGAATCTTTTGATGGGACAGTTCCAACCCCTTCACAATCTTCGTCACCTCGTAGAAAGTGTCGGCCATATGATTGTTGTTCGGAATTGCCTCACTTAGCAAAGAAGCAAACCCATCAACACATCTGTGAGGCAAATTATAGTCACATTTGAGACTAGTGATTCTAGCGGCCATCTCTAACACAGACAAAGAACTCCCTTCGTATAATGGCCTTTTAGAAGACTTCAACAAATCCAGAAAATGCTTAGCAGTTGCATTAGGCTCCTCCTCTGATGAAACACTAGCCTCCTCGGAATGCCCTTGATCTTGTCTATGACCAAAAGCATCCAAAACCATGTCATGATATTCATTGGACCACCGTTCGGGAACTCCCGGATACCCCTCCCCCTGACACATCCACACATAGTAGTTAGGTACGAAACCCTTGTCATACAGATGAATTTTAACCGTATCCACATTCCAAAGGCGTTTGTTCTTACATTTAACACATGGACACCTAACCTCATCCGGATTACTACTCCCGGGATGATCTCTGACGTACTGAATGAATTCATCAACTCCTTTCACGAAATCTGGATTAATACTTTGCCCAATCGTCCTTTTATACATCCAGCTACGTTCTCTTCTTTTCATGATTACAACTTCTACACAGCTCACGCATATGTACAAACACATTAGTCATGAACGGTATTTCGCAGTCATTATCCACCACAGCGTTATGGAAATGCAAATGAGATTTGAAATGCTTCCAAAGGGTCCTTATCACTCCAACCTAACCCATCCTTGTACGTTTATTCTCACTAGTGAATGTAACCCAGGTTTTCAATTCTATGGAAAATCCGCCAGCATTTCCCTACAGTTCTCCAAGTACACGATGTAGGCGATTATACACACCTACATATGTACCCAGAGAACACGGTAGAGAAGTGCATGAAAAGGCAGGATTTTCCCTAGAATAAAAAACAAGGCTTACATTCACCACCTAAGTGAGAATAAGCGTACAAGGACAGTCCCAACTGGGGACTATTCAAGACATACTCCTAATGTGTATGCCTTGAACGGGTATCTAGGCATATGATTATGCAAATGATTCATTTATTATATATATATATATATATATATATATATACATATATATATATACATATATACATATATATATATACATATATATATATATATATACATATATATATATATATATATAAACTAACTTGCATTACATTAAACTAACAAATATATCATAATTTATCTAAAGAAAACTAACATATCATAATATCATAATATTCAAATAAACCAATCAAACAAAACCAAACTACACTAAAATTTCATTATATTAAACCAAAATAGGATACATTATATAAATTAAACTAAACTAAGCTACAATATATTAAAGTAAAGTAATGTAACATACATCATATTAAACTAAACCAAACCAACCTACATTATAATAAATTAAACAAAACTAAACAACATTATATTAAAATAAAGTAAGCTAACATACATCATATTAAGCTAAACTAAACTAAACCAACATACATTATTATATTTAACTAAACCAAACTAAATTAACCTATTATAATACAACTACACTAAACTAACATATTACCCTAAACTATACCAAACTAAAGTAACGGGTTATAATAAAGTAATTAAAAACTATACTTAAATTAACTACACTAATCTAACATATTATAACACAAACACATTCATTTCAAAAATTTCAACAAATTGAAATATAAATATAACAAATTGTAAATACAATAACTAAAAATAATAATAACCTACCACATATCTACACACCATTAGGATTTAACATGCCAAGTATGTACTAAATTTATAAATTTAGCTTTAAAATAATGTCTAACCTGTAGATCTGAGTTTGTAATTGCCAAAAAAACAATTCAACATACAAAACCTACAAATATTCAAATTTAACAAAAATAATTAACACCAAACAAAAGCATGAACTACATTTATGATTTAAGCTTGAATAATTAACTAAAAAAACAAAAAAACAAAACAGAAAAGCAAAGAAAAAAGCAAACAACCTGCTGGTGGCGGCGACGGCGGCGGTGGCTGGTCGTGGTTGACTCGCCAGCAACTTCACCACTAGGTGAACACTCCCGTACACCATAGTTCAAAGGTGGTGGTTAGGGTTTGAAGGAAAAAAAAAATAAAAAACAATATGAACAAACCCTTACCGGCGGCGGGGCGGCAGCGGAGGGGGCCCTGTGGCGGCGGCGGCGGCTGGGTGGAGGCCTTTCTCTCTCTTCCTCGTTCTCCTTCTTCCTTTCTCTTTCTCTTCCTCCTCCATTTCTCTCTCTTCTGCTTCCTCTCTCTTCCCCTTTCTCCCTCTTCCTCTTTCTCCCTCTTCCTCCTTCTCCCTCTTCCTTTCTCTCTCTCTTCTTCTTCCTCTTCCTGTCGCCTTCTCTCTCTTCTTTCGTTTTTTTTTTGTTTTCGCTTCTGTGCAGACTGTAGAAGTTACGTTTTTTTTTAATTAATCACAGCTTCCGACGGAATTATTTCCCTTGGAAATCATAGGTTCCGACGGACTTTTCCGTCGGAACCTGTGATTTTCGAGGGAAATAATTCCGTCGGAAGCTGCTCCGAGGGAATATTCCGTCGAAACATCAATATTCCGAGGGAAGTCCAATCCGTCGCAACAATTCCGACGGAATATTCCGTCGAAAGGGAACCGTTCCGACGAATTATTCCTACAAAGTCAATTTCCCTCAGAATTTTTGAATTTTCCGAGGGAATTAAAGTCCGTCGGAAGATTTCCCTCGGAAATATGCCTATTCCTAGTAGTGTGTTAGGTTGTTTGTTACAAAGTATTTTATAAGGAGAAACCTTACTCTTAGTCTTTGGAACACGGTTCAAGACATAACAAACTGTGAGAAGGATTTCTCCCCACCAATGATCAGCAGCACCAGAATTTAAAGAAATAGCAACTACTAACTCTGTAAAAGTTCTATTTTTCCTTTCAGCCTTACCATTCATTTCTGGAGAGTAAGGGGCTGACCTTTCATGTATGATACCATGTGAATTATAAAACTCTACAAAGGCATCAGTATCATACTCAGTTCCACGATCACTTCGTAACCTTTTTATTTTCTTGTTGAACTGATTCTCAAACTCTGTCACAAACAACTTAAACATTTCAAAAGCATCACTTTTATTTTTCATCAAATAAACACGAGTATAATCAGAACAATCATCAATAAAGGTGATGTAATATCGTTGTCCATTTCTGGTCAACGTACCATTATATTAACAAATATCCGAATGAATTAAGTCTAACGGTTCTGAATCTCTAATAACCGACTTATGAGGTATTTTTGTAATCTTAGCTTGACTACAAAAATCACATTTATCAAAGCCATTGAGAGAAATATTAGGAATAAGGCCTAAATTGCTTATATTATTTATAAGTCTTTTGTTCACATGACAAAGTCTAGCATGCCAAATATTAACAGTGGAAGACAACATATAAGCATAATCAGAAATTTTATTAAACTCAACATTCAGTTTAAACATACCATCAGTAGCATATCCTTTTCCTACAAACATTCCATTCTTAATTAAAGTAAATAAATCAGAGCCTATGGTTTGTGTAAACCAGCCTTATTAAGAAAAAAAACCAGAAACTAATTTTTTCTCATTTCCGGAGTGTGCAGTACATCCTTCAAAATGAGAGTCCTGCCAGAAGTAAACTTTAACTCAACATTACCAATACCAGCAACATTAGTGGAATCGGAATCACCTAACAACACTTTCTTATCATCGGTCTTTTCAGAGTATGTTTTAAACATCCGACGATCATAGCAGACATGGCGCGTAGCACCAGTGTCTACCCACCACCCATCTGATCCACCTGTAAGGTTGATCTCAGTAATAATAGCCACAAGAGGCTCTTCAATCATGCTTGCCTGCGCAATTGCAGGGTTAGGCATGTTCCTGCACTTTCGTGCCATATGGCCTGGTTTTCCACACCTATAGCATAGAAATTGACCAGTACCATTCTTAGGGGGTTGAGACTGTTTCTTTCCATTGTTCTTTTGAACATTTTGTTTACTTTTGTTGAAGTTATTCTTCCGGTTCTGAGGTTTGAAACTCTTACCAGCAGGCTTGAGAACTGCAGCAGACCGCTTAGGAGCATTGTTAGCAGTGACCTATAAGATTTCTTCCTTCTGGTCCTGTTTCCTGGATTCTTCTTCTATACGGAGCCGAGTGATCAAACTTTCTAAGGAGAATTCCTTAGTCTTGTGCCTGAGGTTATTTTTGAAATCTTTCCAAGAAGGCAACTTGTCAATAATACCAGCAATTTTGTTCATCAAGGGCCATACCTTCGGAAACTATCTCATGGGCAATTTTCTGAAGTTCGTGGGATTGCACCTCCACAGACTTATCATCAGTCATCTGAAATTTCAGGTACCTGCTGACAGCATACTTTTTGGCACCGGATTCTTCAGTGTCATATTTCTTTTGTAGGGCATCCCACAAATCCTTAGTAGTATTTCCAAATTATAATAGTCATACAGGTTACCAGACAGACCATTAAGTATATAATTCTTGCACATGAAATCAGTTTCATTCCAAGTTTCGATTTCACTATTCCAATAAACTAGTTCATCTTGTTCAGCATTATCAGGAATAACAGGCCTAGAGACAGCCAATACAGAATGCACTTTTTTAACAGTCAAGAAAAACTGCATTTTCTATTTCCACCTTTTAAAATGAGCGCCTTCAAAACGGAAGGACTTGTTAAGGTCATTGAACATAGTCATATCTTCGGTAGACATTATAATTACGGAAGGCAGAAAAGATTGTTCTAAAATTGTTGTAAACTGAACTGCAGAAACAAAACAGTAAGAACAATGTTACCAGGAATGAGACTGAGTCGCGGACTATGTCGCTCTCTTTAGAACATTCATGGTACTGCCTCGAAGTTGTGCAAGCAGCTCGTACGCAATCGGATGTCCCCTAGGATGAAACAGTCTCTCGAAATTATAAAGTACCGGTGGATTTGCACTGAATCACCAGGAAACTAAACACCAAAACTATAATAAAATTGCTCGAGAAGTTTTTAAGAAGAACAGAGATTAGGAGATAATTGTTTCTGTGTTTTTTGTTGTGTTTGAAAAGCTGAACTCATTCTCCTTTTATAACCAAAACCAGAAAGCCGTTTTCAAACCCAGTAATAGCATAACGGCTGATTAAGTGTTAATCATGCCTAAAAAATAGCAAAAAAAACGGTCGAGAAAAACGGCTAGAAAACCAATTTTTTAACAACGTTCAAAATTGATTAACATAAATAACAGGAAATTTAAATCAATCAAAACCGTTAGCAAAAATCAAGGCACTAATCACGTAATTAAGCCTTGTTCAAAAAACTGTGCAAAAATTAAGTTTACTTTATAAACACGACCCGACCCAGCCTGACCCGATTCGGCGCACGTGTGTGTGTGATAGATTGGCATGGTAGGTAAGTCCTCCCTCTCCACAAAATGTGGGTAGCCCAAGGGCCACACCCAAATTCTCCACACTCTATATTATAAAGGAGGACAAACTTCCCTTTCCCACCAATGTGGGACTTTTTGTTTTTCCACAAAATTCACACACCAAAGCACTTGTTCCAACACCCCCCCTTCCCCCGGCTGATTTCGTGGTTTTTGGTTAGAGATAGGGTTTGGTCGGCGGGTTAGAGGTTGGGTTTCGTGGGCATCACCGACGGTTTTGCGGTAAGGGGAAAGGGAGAGGGACGAGCCGCCGGTAGTGGTGGGCTTAGGTCGCCGACGATGGTGGGGCTGATTTCATAGGGTTTCAGGTTAGAGATAGGGTTCGAGTTGGGGCGTCGGCGGCGATTTCGCGGTAAGGGGAAAAGGGAAATGGAGATTCTTGGGTCGCCGACAGGTTATAATACTTGGTTGGTGGTCGCCGGTAGGTAAGGATGCTAGATTCGTGGTCTCCGGGAGTTAGGGGCGGTGGTCGGCGGTCTCTGGCAGCTAGAGGCGGTGGTCGGTGGTTGAGGTTCCAATTTCCATGAATATTTAATATTGATTTATAAATCATTTTAGCAATTTAGAAAATCAATTAAATGAATTTCGGAAATATATATATATATTTATATATATATATATATATATAGAGTGACAACATTATTTTTTATGGCCTAGAGAGTGCCATGTAGTTAGGCTTATGGTGATAAAAAAAAATAGTTTGATCACCCTAGAATCATCCATTCAAAGGGAGGTGTTAATTAGGGTGGTTTGGGAAAATTTTCAAGTGATGGTATAATAAATAAATAAAAAAAAAATAGATGATAATCTAGAATAAAAATTAATTCAGGTGGTTAAACAAAAAATTGGGTATATTTTTAGGTGGTTACATTATAAGTCAATAGCATAACGCTATATAACAAGTATAAGACTGTATCTTTCTAAATGATAAGTTTATAATTTCTATTAGTCAATTTATAGGAGCTACTAGTTACTCCCTTCGCTCCCCTTTTTTTTTAGTACATTTGAAAATTTTTTATCAGAAAAAAAATGGTCAAAACGTAGAAAATGAAAAGGATCGGAGTGTATAAAATTATATCAATATTATGATGGAACATATTAGGCCTCTATTTATGTGTAGTTCATTTTAACTAATTGATGACTTCATTATTGAACTTTGACATTTGCCATGTATAATACTAAATTATTTTTATTGTACATGATATTTTTCTAACAACTAAACTTATATTTACTAAATTATTTTTATTGACCTTATATTATTTTTACTGAATACTATTTGAATAAGGTGAATAAATAAAATAGGGCCTTAGTCACAAAATTAATTAAGTATGATATGTTTCCATTTTGTTTAGTATGATTTTGCTAATAATCTTTTATTTTTGGAAATAAATCTCCTCCGCTAATCAAATTAGCAGAGTCTTGATTATTTACTAATTTTGTGATCTCATATTAATGTCTTATTTCTCTACTTAAGCACCATATCACACACACAATACACATACACACTCCTATTGGCACAAACATATCAAAGGTATTAGTTGTTGAATTAGAAATGACTTCTATATTAATCTTAGCTATTTATTCTTCAATAGTTTTTACTGGATTATGTAGCACAACCTTCTCTAATGAACATAAGATTATCAAGGTATGTTACTTTATGATTATGTCATTTTCTTTCCATATAATGCTTAATCCTTATATAAATTCTTAAATGGACCTGGTTCACACTAATTTATTGTGGACCACTAACATTAGAGAAAGTATGGTTGTTTTATTAACAAAAAAAAGGGTCACTATAATTTTAAAAAAGGTCACTATGTTGAAATAAAAATTATTTTGGTAATATATAGGCCTAAGTGGATATTTTTGTAATGAAATATTTTATATACTAATCAATATGAATAATAAAGGCCACTATGCTAAAATTAGGGTAATAGCGTCGTATTTCAAGTTCACAATATTATTAAACGTTGTAGTAGTTTTAATAAAGGTTACTATGTTAAAAATAAGGTTCCTATGTTAAAAAAAATGGTCACTATATTCAATATAATGTCAGTTGCGTGTGTATAGATCTCGGGTCCACAATAATATTATTGTGGACCAGGTCCACACAAGTGTTTTTGTAATCCTTATGTAACAAAATATATTTTACTCTAAACTTTTTTCTATATCTCCAACAGACAAAACATGGTGTTTATGATTGTGTAGACTTTTACAAACAACCAACGTTCAAACATCCATTACTAAAACACCACACATCTAAGGCAAGTTACTTTGTTGTATAAGGGTTTGTTTAGTTCACCTTATTATTGCTTAATAGATCTTATCCGGACTTATATGGTCGGTTCTGATCTAGTCTAGTATGATGATATGATCTGATATGAATTGATTGTCTGATTTGACTAAACTTTGAGCTTATGTATACCATAATCTATAAAGAAAAAATATATCAAGTTGGGTATTGCTAGATTAATAATAATGAGTATTTTATTCATATGTAATTTTCATAATTTTTTAATTACCGAATTAAAGATAATTAGCAATAAAAAATCACACATAATACGATAAAGTAGTATGTCAAAACTCTTTTTTCTGATCTGATATGATATGAACTTTTTTTATTATTTGATTTATTTGATATGAAATAATTAAAAATAAGGTAAAGTAAATATGGCTTAAATGTGTTGTCAATTTTTGTCATTTATTCTTACTTTTTATTTGAGAATAATTTCAAAAAAATATATCAAATTTCAAAAATGTAGATATTTGATATATTTTTAAAGTAATTATTAAGACAAATCAACTAAACAAGGTATCACACAAAAAATGCAGAGAGTAAAAGATACATGGAGTGGCTTTAAATATAATTAAAATGAACACAACTTTTTATTTGAGAATAATTAATCAATTTAGCCTTAATTGAGGTTTCATTTTTTTTAATGTAATGGGAATAAAAAAGAAAAGATCTTCACAACTTTTAAATGGAACAAATATATAAACAAACATTTTTAGTAGTATAAATGTCCGTACACTATATGTGAGAGCCCTTTCAAACTTTGTAAAAGGCCGGTAGAGGTATTGCACTTTTGTTAAAATATCAAAATCATTATAAGGGAGATTTCATGCTTTGTGGATAACAGGTTATAGTTGGTAAAGTCTTCTAAGTAAACTAGGTGGTACCCGATACTTCAAATCAAATTTCATTTACATTATTGTCCTTTGATTTTTATTATGTGCACAGTTATTACCAAAATTGTTAAAAGAACTTCAAGAAAAAAAATTTATGGCTTTGGACTTGAAGAAGGTGATTGCCCTATAGGGACTGTTCCCATTTTAAGAACCACTCAAAATTCTACTGTCGGTAGCCTTCAACCTCCTCGCCCCAAATTACATTGCGTAAGGTTTTTTTTTTTCTTTTATATACTTCCTCCATTCTTTTTTTATTGCATTATAGGAGGTTTCACGCTTGCCAATGCATTACTTTAGCTATTAATATCTTTAATTATACCTTTGTAAAAATTATAAAAAATTGATATTTGAAAAGTAAATTTCGAGATAAATCTAACTAGATCCCACGTGACTATGTTTTTCTTTACGAATAAATCACAAAAGATGGTCAAAGAAGATAATGTGAATAGTGTAAAAGTCAAAGTGATGCGATAAAAAAAGTACAGAGGAAGTATATATATATATATATGTATATAATGTTTTTAGTTAGGTATGGGGTATTCGGGAAAGGGTAAGGGAAGTAAAAGAGTTATTTCCCTTTGTTAATGTTTTATTAACACGAGCCTGTTCAAGTCACCTAATTTTTACTTATTTTAGGTCTAATAAGTTTAAGTTAGTTCAGTTACATTTAGATAAGTTCAGTTAAGAAAAATAAGTTCTAATAAGGGTTATCGAAATTTAAATTACAACTAAAATAAGTTTTAATATAATCTAATAAGCCCAATTAAATTTAGATAAGTTAAAATCAGGTGAATAGAACACATCTTTATATTATTTCTTTTCCCCACTTAATTCCCCATAGTCTTTAAGTTGATTCCCCACACTCACCCCAAGGTATTTGGATTCCCATTTTTTAACAACCACCATACCAGACCAACCATTGCCACCCTCACCTACGCACCACCACTGCAAGCCTATACCGCCTCATCACTACCATTGTGATATCGTCAACGCCCTAACCACCATCACCATGCCGCCCACCTACTACAACACCCACTGCCTCACACCCTAGAATATCCACCCCACCCACTCGAACACCCATTGAAACCACCAATTACCCACCCTTATCACCTAACTAAAAACACAACCCACCACCTGATTACCCACCCCACCCACACACCCAAAAGCCCACCTCCACCACCGATTACAGATCAAAACCAACCGAAAAGGCACCCTAACCACCCTAAAAACCTGAAACCCATAATGCCAAACCCGAAACTAGTTGATTTAGAAGTGTGTTGAAAAATATAAATAAAGAGAAAGTGCGATAGAAATAAAAGTGAGGACAGGTGGCGACAACAGGGGTTAAAAGGAGAGGAAATGGTTGTTTAAAACAAACAACTACCTAAATTTATGGGTTTTGGTTTTCATACTAGTTTTCATTTCACAATAATGTAATGCTAGATTGGTGATTAAGTGAGGCCCACCATGATGTCACAATTGAGGCATTGGACAATTTAGTGGTAAAATTTAAGGTTTTGAATAATTGTTGGTGGAAAGTTAAAAAAAATTGTTTGTAGTATTTACTAAAACATGAATTATAGTAGGCGGTAAATATCAAATATTCCTTTTTTTTATATATATATCAACATTATAAAGTAGTAATACTCTCAAAATAATAACAAAAGTACAAAACACTCTATAGTACAATTAGCTTTATATTGTATAAAGCAAGAAAATTAATTGTTACTTCGTATTATATATGAATACATGATGAAAATCGGTTCTTGAAGCACCATAATTTTATTTTGTTAAACATGTACAATATGCAAAAATTAATCTTCTAATGATCAGAATCCAAACCTTCAATGTGATAAACAAACAAAAGTGCAATTGCAATAATGAAATAATCAAATCATCCAAGAATAATTCAAATGAAAAAATTCAACTAGGTACCTTATCACCATTGTTTTGCTGCATCATGTATTTATAGCATGTTTATCCTCCAATAATTTTCAAATTATAAAGTAGTTCAAAAACTCTTCAATTAGAGTAGGGATGACAATTAATAATAAATTGATATTCGATATCCGATTCACCCGATATTGCCACGTGTCTCATCCTTAAAATACTTTTATTAAATAAATAATTTAATTAAAAAAGCTATTTGCTCTTTAAATTCCCATTACTTTCGTAAATATTCTAATTAAATTCTGATTCATCATCTTATGATTACAATTACTTCAAAATCAAATTTAAGGTATTAACCATTACTCATTGATGCAGGTTGCTTTAGTTCATACTAATAATTTAAAGAGAAAGTTCTTTGGAGCTGGTGTTACACCCATTATTTATAAACCTCGTATATACACTAATGATCAAGTTTCTTCTACAAGAATAAAACTTTCAAATGGGGAAGATAGCTTTGAAGCTGGATGGATGGTACGAATTTTTTTTTACATTGTTGTAGTACTATTTTTTTACATTATACTTATAATACTCTTCTTTTGTTGATGTGATCAATCTTCAGGTAAATCCTAATGTATTCCATGATAATGAATCACATTTGTATGCAAGTTTCTCGGTAAGTATTCTAATTAAGTATTATATATATGACATAGTGTAAAATAATCTATACTAAAAAAATAAAGTGCTAATCACCAATATATATATTATCATATTACATGTCACTATTTCAAAATTAAATATAGATAACTTGAATCATGAGGTTAATGTTGTAGCTCGATGCATGCCCGTGCCTAAAAACTAGTTAGTAAATTTTGTTGTCTATAAAGGCGTTTGATTTGAATGTGATTAAGTGTGGAAAAACATGTCCGTTATACAGGATCATATTGTGCACGTGTTAGATTGCAAACAATGTCTTGGCCTAGATTATCTCACACACATCATATTTTCGATGACAATAATCTTATCTTGATGAAATACTTGTAACAATTTATGAAGTAACTTTCATGTTTTTTGTAACATGAAATCTTTAATAGGCTCAGGGGAAAGGTTGCATAAATCTTCAATGTCCAGGCTTTGTTCAAGTGGCTACAGATGTAGCTTTGGGCATGGTTCCATCTGCATACTCGGTAATTGGAGGACAACAATTGGGTTGGAATTTATCAATTGTCAAGGTATAATTTCACATTTTTCTTCAACCTTTTTATTTGGCTAATCAGCTACCAACTTTATTTATTTTGCGTGTTAAGAGTTAATTTAAGTACCTCAAATGTTATGAAATAAATAATCATCTTAAAGTGAATTTTGAGCTCATAGTACTTAAAGCTGTTCGGACCTATTTTTTCTGTTTCTTTTTAGTTGATACGTTTCTTTAGTCACTTTTGCCTATGCACAAATTCAACTGTTAATATCTTTAATAACCGATAAGCAAAAATTTTAAAAATTGATACTTTAAAAATATATATCGTGACGAATCTAACAAGACCCCACATGACTATATTTTTCATTACGTATAAATCACAAACCCTGGTCAAAGGGAAGTGTGGGAATAGTGCTAAAGTTTAAACGTGTCAACTAATAAAAAACGGAGGTAGTATATTTTATGTGAAACCTTAAATTTCAATAGTTTACATTATTTACAAAAATGTCATGGTATGTCCTTGCGAATACAAAGAATATACTACTCCCTCGTCCCTTATCTACATGCCTATTTCTAATATTTATTTCCCACATAATAAAGAGAAATAGGCATGTAGATAAGGGACGGAGAGAGTAAGACTTTTTCCACAATCAATATGGGGAATAATTATCTTATATATAAACATAAATTTTAATAAGTTTCATAATTTACATAAATATATGTTTGTTTGTTTTTTTTATGTGTAAATATGTATGCATTCTTACAATAATTGATTTTTTTTTTATATATATAAATGAAATGTATAGGAAACAATGCTGATTTATACTCAACTCTCACTAAAAAAATTAGAGAGGTGGGTATCAAGATGAAGTATTTGATAAATAAATATGGGAAAATGAAGAGAATAATAATCAATAGTGCACTAGAGTTTATACAAGTCTTTTAATTTAATCTAAACTTTTTAAATTCCATCTCTAATCTCTATTCTATAAAAATTATTATTTTCATGAAACTACTATTTAAATGTTAGTGTAACATACTTATCTACACTAATATATACTCATGTTCATTTATTTTTTTATTTTTTTACGAGGGTGTAGTCCGAAGAAGATGAATATTGGTGGTTATTCATAGGCGCAGAAAAAAAAGCAATTGGATATTGGCCCAAAGAATTATTTATTCCATTGGCATTAGTAGCAAGTAAAGTTGAATGGGGAGGTGAGATTTATGATTTTGGATCAAATAGTTCGAGCACTCCTCTTCCTGATATGGGCAATGGTTTGAAAGCAAGAGACGAGCCTCCGTATTATTCAGGGGCAAATTACATGTTACGTATGTTGATGTAACCTTTAAGAATGTGTTATATCCCGAAGACACTAACAAGGTTTGGGATTGCGATCCATATTACACTGTTTTAGATCACACCTATAAAGATTATGATTCAGCTCAGGTGATATTTTATGGAGGTACTTCTTAAGTAAAAATCTCATCTTGTTCCTTTTTTTTTTAACATTTGAACATAATAAAGAGTTGCGTTTTTTTTTTTTTTAATTTTTTTTATGTATGTAGTGAGTTATTAATATCGTGTAATTATGTATGTTGGATGTAGAAAATGCTCAATTTTTTCTATTAAGAAACAAAGTCATAAACCGATAATCATTATACAATTAGTTGTTACATAATTACGATGAAAATACTTGCATTGATTCAATTAAAACCTCTTGATGCTCATATGCAAAAGCGTTAATACTATATAATACTTCCCTGTTTATTGATAGATGCATCCACTTGACTTTGCACACGTTTTATATTCTAACTTTGACCACTTTTATTTACTAATATACAGTAGTAAATGTCATTATTTTAATTGTTTATTGTATTAATAAACTCAATGTGTACCATCAAATTATCATACTATAACATTCATTATTTTAACTTACATATAATCAAGATTGATATAGATAGTCAAAGTAACTTTAGAAACAATGTTTTAAGTCAAACATATGCATCTACGACATCTATAAAAATAATTCTAATTTAAATAATACATAACATATTGAATCAGATAAAAAATTTCCTTAACTATAATCACCAAGTAAATCTTGTAGTGTGGAATATCTCCCACTTATATCGCTGAAAAATACAGTTTTGTTGGAGAGACGACAATCTAATGATCATTTGTAGTGGTGATGATGTTTTTCATTTGTTTGTAACAAAAAAGTTGTTAACCTTTGCGATCTCGCATATAACAAAACAACTTCACAGCGCCCATTGGATCTACTATCCTCGATTTTAATATAAGAAAATTCTTTCTCGAGAAGAGAAGACAAACCTTGTATTTCAAAAGAGGTCGAAAAATTGTGTCTTTCGAAGAAGATCGAAATAACCTTGTTTTCCGAAGGAGATCGAAATCCCTTTCTTTTGAGGGAGAAAAAATTCTCTCAAAAGAAGAAATCATTATTTATAAAACCGAAAAAAAAACCAAAAGCAAAATAATCTTTAAGAAAACAAAGATCGGTGCTTTTCTTCGGCAAAAATCAATTTAAGTTAGCGCTTTAAAATTAACAATGGGGGTTAGGGTTTAGGAGAGAAGTTATAGTTCGTTTTTTTCATATGATTTGCCTTTTGTTAAATTAAATTAAATAAGCCAAATCCACTTAATAAAGTAGAGATTGTTGTAGTAAGGACATACAAGTATGTTATATTGAAAAAAGTAGGAGGTGAGTGACATGTGTTTTTTTTTAGCTACCAAATTATAATCATGCTAATGCATGTGATATTTATTCGTCATTTAAGAATACGTACAATAAAATAAGATATACATCCTCCATGTTTTTCTAAGTTGACATATTTTTATTTTGGGAAACTCTCAATGGTGACCCTCTAATTTTAAGACACTGAAATGGTGACCACCTTTTTTTTTGTAGAAAATGACCCTAATTAAGATTTTTATCCCAATTATAACCTTATTTTACTTAAATGTTAATTAAAGTTAACTATGGTTAGATGGTTAGATTTATTTTTATTTTTTTTTAAAAAAAAATAAAATAAATAAATAAAATAAAACAACCTACCCAACCACCAACCTAGGCACCCCAATTTTCATCCTTACCCTCACCCAGCCACCATCAAACCTCGACCTTGAACTCGAACTCGAACACCGCCTAGAACCCCACTAGACCCTGAACCACCACCTCCACCCTCCCTCTCTCTATCCTCCGCCTTCTCCTCCGCCCATAATTGAATTTCATGAATATCATAATTTCAATCGATGTCTAGGCGAGTGGGGGTGGTGGTTTTGGGGTCTGGGCTGTAATACCCTAGAAATTCCCTTCTTTAAAACTCCCTTTTTATTCTACTAAAACTCATTTTTAGAAAATAACCAAAATAACACCGCCACCGTGATAATGACTAAGGCTTTTCAAAGTCACACAACGGAATTCTTAACTTAAAATAAAACTTTTAAAACAAATAACTTGAGTTCACAAATTTAAAACAAACATTCATAAGTTGGAACCAGTATAAACATTGCCCTTCAAAAACCAATTTAAAATAAAACATAACAATGTTAGTCCAAAATGAATAATCAATCAACTAAAAGTATAAATCTAATAAAGCATAACAAGTAACTCTCAACACTCATCACATCATGCTATTCATGCTTCGAGCTGCCTCTTTCTCTTTATTTCAACCCTTCTACTCATCATATAAATAGATCATAGTAGGGTCAATCCAAAGAAAATCCAAATACAAAAGTACAAATCAGCAAAAACTGAGTACATATGCACCTATAAAACTAGCACACTAACATGATCATCCTAGCAATAATAACTAATATATGCTCGTCATACAATTCACAAGTCAACTTACCTTTGACTCAAAACTATCAATATTAATTATTAATAAATAGTTTTGGATTACGCATCGAACATGTTTCTTCCTTAACTAGCCCTTATAAATATTGGGCTTCCAACTAGGGAGCTATCCAAGTTGGCACCTGCTATGTCACATAAGTGACAGAATTATAACGCACTAATAAAAGAAAGTACATCGTCCTATACTCCTGTAGAAGGTATGATAAAATATAAAGTCATATAACTACCCCCATATGTTCATACTCAAGGTATATACGTTCCAAGAGTTTTGGAGCGTATCCTCATACACTTTACGTGATTTACCAATTTAACATGTGATGACTCCTACCAATCAATCAAGAATACAACACAACAATCACCAACACATACTTCAATTTATTTCTTGAATTTATTTGTGAGCACATACAATTTATTTTAATTAAGGTTCCTTGCTTAGTTTTGTGCACAACTTTGCACGATTACTACCTTGGTGCATAAAATGCACTATTAAACTTTCTTGACTCAATCTCAACTTATGTGAGTGAGTAATAAATAAATTAACTTCCTTGACTCGACCTCAACTTTGTGAGTGAGTAATTAAATAAACTAACTTTCTTGACTCAACTCGAATAATATATGGGTGAGACTAAAATCATAAATCATGCTCAATAAATATAACTTCAACTCTTTTCATATATATAAGGCTTGCTTGATAAATACATGCCTTCTTGATGATAAATAATAAATAATATAACATGATTCAATCTTTTCAACTTGTATCAAGCCCATCATAATAATTCCAACATACTCACATGCTTATATATAAGACATGGATAAGCAAATCAATCATTCCAAGTATCACAACAACAACTTAACATGATTGTAGACACCTAATTGTGTCTACCCAAAAACCAAATCCAGTTATAAGTATCTTTCACGTCTTTGATTATCGATTTAGGCGAAGAGTTGAAAAGTCTCGTGAATTTTCCTTAACCCCTGACCATTTCTAACCTTTTCTAAAATGTTTTAAACCAAAATCATTCCTTTCGTGTCCTCTTTATAAAAACGTCCAAAACAGTCTATTTTGGTCCATATAATAGGTCAAATAATTGTTTAGTTGGATGGGGTTTGAAAAGATCTTTCCAACGATATATTATAAGCCCAAATCCGAGTTATAACGAAGAAGTTATGGCCAAATTACTAAACCGAGCCCAAACCGAGCCTTATCTACGACCCAATGACCGTGTGGAGGGTTCATTAACCTTAACCTCATTCCTAAACCAATTAGAATTTATTATGAGCTTCTAAAATCCTCTAGAAGGTTGTTTTCAATCCTAAATCCATTAGGATTTATTATTAGCTTCTAGAATCCTCTCGAAAGTTCTAATTTATCCAGTGTTTGAAAAGATAAAGACTTAAGAATTTTACATCGGATAAAACACTTATTTTTCAATGATTTTAATTCTAATAAAGTTAGAATACGTACGGAAATTCAATTAACCCAATTAGATTGGAAGTCGAATTCCGTAAGGATTCTATCTTCCAAAACCATCGCTGAGCGATAGAACCATCACGTCGCGATAAGCCTGTCATGCCGCGATGGATCCTGTTTTACTCCGAGTTGGATTTTGACTCTTTTTTTAAACTGCGACCCTCGTTTTTTCTTATAAATAGAGGTCGTTTTCCCCCGTTTTAAATCATCAACAACTTTGATCACCAACATTTATCATCTCTTTCCTATCTAAGCTTAAGCTATTCTCTCTCTCTTCTTTATTAATTTCTAGCCTTAGCCTAAACACATCCAAACACACATCCTTGATACTTTTCCCAAGAAAACACCATACCTCATTCACAAGCCTTGAGTACTCCAAGCCAAGCTCGAAGTTGTCTTCGACCTTGACGTGAAAGGTTGATAGTTCTGAGGGTTTGGTCCTAAATCTATATTTCAATTATTATTTGATTTATTTGTTTGATTTAATCTTTCTTGAAGTTACTAACGTGTGTATTGTTTTGATAGAAAGAAATACGGGACATCAAAGTAAGTAATTCGATTACTTATTTATTTCTTTGATATAGAAATTATGCTTAGGATGTTATTTTAATTTCTAGTATCATGTTTAGGATGTTAATTAATATTCCTAATGCCATGCTTTCTAGCATCGTGTTTAGGTTAAATCTTTGATCTTTATTATTAGTGACATGCTAGGATTTGTTATTAATCCGTTTAGTATCATGCTTAGGATCTTACTAATCATGTTTTAATAATATTTTGATGATATTATTATTATGATGATGATTGTTGTGTCAATTATACATTGCTTGATTATTCTTGATATTTTCTTGATCACGCCCCTTCTTGCAGGTTTAAAGGGAATTTGTACGTGAAATCACGCCTAATAAGATAATTAATAATTTGATTTAAGTTTAATATGATTTTAATTCAAATGATCGCCAATAATAGATTTACTTGTGAATTGATAATCAACCAACGT